TGTGACTCATCTTGTGAGCTCGACCTGAAAATTTTTTCCCCATCTGGCCCGACTCAAACCCAACGACTCCCTGCTCTCCGTTAGTGCAACGGAAAAATTAAAAAAAAAATTGAAAAAATTATATAATCGTTAATTCCACCAACAACCAATTTTTATTTATTTTTATTTTTATATATTTAAATTAACTCCTCCCTCCTAAGTCCTATAAATACCACCTCTCTCTTATTTTATTTCTCACAAACAAATCTGTTTCTCAAACTCTTATTATCTTTGAACTCTCAACTCTCTCAATTAATTTTGAAGTGCCATCCCTAAGTGACAATTGCAATGGATCACCTATCTCTATTTTAAATTTATTTTTAATCATAGTATCTTCATTAAATATAATAGAAATAGTAATATACAAACGATATACTTTTTAAAATATCTATATACACTTATAGACATATATATATATATATATAATTTAACTAAATTTTAATAAAAAAATATGTTGAAAAAAATTATCTATGACGTGATTTTATTTTGTTCTACTAAATAAATTTTCTCCTAAATTTTTTTCCCCAACTTTTCTTCGTTTTTTTCTCTACTCTATTTTCTTTCCCTTAATTTGTCCTAGTTGTGCTTGAGCTCTCTCTATTTCTTATTCAAACTTCTCTATTTCGCCCAAATTATCGAACAACCATTGTTGATAGTTCTTCCTTACTGGATTCTTCCTCTCTCTACTCTTGTGTCTCTGCAATAAATCCTTAAACTCGTCACTACTCTCTTTGTTTATTTCTACACTATTCATTTTGGTGATATTTCTCTATCTAGTACATGCATCTATCTCGAAACTCTAGCTCTTTCACATTAATATGTTATACATACACAAACCTTTGGTCGTAGTTATGATTTGAAAGGTTTTGTTATCATTAATTTGTACTTGTGTTATAGAACTGTTGAAAAATGAATATTACACATTTTGTTGTACTGTTCTACACTCTCAGTCCTTTTCATCGCTCAAGCATCTCTCTCATTCTTTATTGTCATTATAGATATCTTCGATGTTCCTTATCAGAAACGACAGCACCTTTGATGTCATTTTCATAGGCGATAAGCCCCGTTCAGTCTCTCTTTCTTATATTCCCTTTCCTCTCGTTCTACTAGCTAATCTTCTCTAACTCTCATTTTCTGTTCCATGGCTTTAAGTCATTGATTAAATTATTTAATGATTGTTATTACATTTTGTTTTCTCTGTATTATGAGAGATCCTTATTGATGATTCTAAGATTTGTAGTGATTTGTTTAGTCATTCTATGATAACTGTTATGAAACTTTGTTGCTTGATTACAATATTTGTGGTTTATAAAAAATTTGGATATTTTTGCTACATCAATTAGTTGTGTTGTTACGCATTTTGTGATTGATGTTATGAAATTTTTTAGGTTGGTTATGACATTTGTGATTTGTAAAAATTTTGATTATTTTTATTATGGCAATTAGTGGTGTAGTTACGCATTTTTTAGTTGATGTTATTAAATTTTGTGAGTTGGTTATGACATTTGTGATTTTTAAAATTTTTAGATGTTTTTGTTACACCAATTAGTGGATAATTACATAATTTTTTGGTATAGCGATCCCGGTTTTTACGCGACTCTTATGGTTTTCCAGACTCAGGTTTAATGCTTTCAAGTTGTTGTTTACCTCTTTCCTCCTTTATATCTCTTGAAAATGGCCTTTAGGTTGTTATGATTGCGTTGGAACAGGTTGGTTGCTTGTTTTTTCTCAAACCTGTGTTGCCCAGAATTTTGGTCTTCCGCTCGAGCGAGGCTTTTTGCGCTTGAGCGGGGTTTGCAAACACTCAGTACTTTGTACGTCTGCAAAGTACTAGAGAAGTATTTTTCATGCTTGAGCGGTGTTTCTTATACTAGAGTGGCCTTCCTTGCGCTCGAGCGGGTTGTCTGTTGTCTGCATAAGTATTGAGGAAGAACACGAGGAACACTTGCGAGTGGTGCTTGAGTTGCTTAGAGCCCATAAGCTGTATGCTAAGTTTGGGAAATGTGAATTCTGGCTGAGGGAAGTTAAGTTCTTAGGCCATTTGGTATCTGAGGAAGGGGTGACTGTAGATTCATCCAAGATAGAGGCAGTGCATGATTGGGCACAACCTAATAATGCTTTTGAGATCCGCAGTTTTCTGGGGTTGGCCGGATATTATCAGAGGTTTGTGAAAGATTTCTCTAAACTAGCCTCACCTTTGACTAGGTTGACGAGGAAAGGAATAAAATTTGTGTGGAGTGAGACTTGTGAGAAGTCGTTTCAAGAGCTTAAGGTTAGACTTACCACTGCTCCAGTTTTGATTATTCCGAAGAGGGGTTTGGGTTATTCAGTATATTGTGATGCCTCACGAGAAGGTTTGCGTTGCGTATTGATGCAAGAGGGAAATGTAGTAGCCTATGGCTCACGGCAGTTGAAAACTCATGAGAGGAGTTACCGTACCCTTGACCTAGAGTTAGCAGCGGTGATTTTTGCCTTAAAGATTTGGAGGCACTATCTGTATGGAGAGAAATTTGAGGTGTTTTCTGATCAGAAGAGTCTGAAGTATCTGTTCACTCAAAAAGATTTGAATTTGAGGCAGAAAAAGTGGATGAAATTCATGAAGGACTATGATTTTGAGTTGCATTATCATCCGGGAAAGGCCAATGTTGTGGCCGACGCCTTGAGTAGAAAATCAATTAACAATGTAGCTTGTATCGCCATCCGAGAATGGGAGAGGTTGGGTACCCTTGGTGAGTTTGACTTGCACCTAGGCAAGTCTGTTGAGTCTGCAGCCTTGTTCTCAATGGTTGCTCAACCTACACTTGTGAACCGAGTGTTAGAAGCACAGAGAGGTGACCTTAAGGTAGAAACCCTTTGAGAGAAGATCTCCAGTGGGAAAGTAGAAAGAGGCTTGACTATTTATCCCGACCTGAGTGTGAGATACCGTGACCGTTTATTTATGCCAGAGTCTTGTTAGGAGGAAGTACTCCGAGAGTTTCACCATTCTCGCCTTGCTGTGCATCCAGGAGGCACAAAGATGTACCATGAACTTCGTCTCCAGTTTTGGTGGAGAGGAATGAAGAAGGATGTAGTCGTGTTTGTATCGAAAAACCTTGCTTATCAACAAGTGAAGACTGAGCATCAGAGGCCAGTAGGTTTGTTACAACCCTTGCCTATTGCAGAGTGGAAGTGGGAGCATGCCATGATGAATTTTGTTATGGGCCTTCTGTAACGACCCCGCCATCTATAATATGTTATATTTGGTTAATTAAGGAGATTTGAGTTTTAATTAGTCGCTATCCAAATTTAATTTGGGATTTATGAGAATTGTGAAATTTGATTCGTATATGATTCTATTGAAGACTTATTTTGGAATTAGAAATTAAGGATCCAAATGGCTTAAGGGAGTGAAGTTGAGAAGTTAAGCCAATTTAATTTTAATTACGGACCCATTTGGGAGTTTAATTAAATATTTGATTCAATTTAGTAAAATTGAGATTCAATTAAATTGGGTCCAAATTGGAGTTAACTAAGTTAATTAAATTATGAGGTTTGAGAATTGCGATTATTACGAATTAAATTTATTTATGGGATGTATAATTCGAAAATTTCTGTTATAGATTTGCATGTGAAACCTTATGTGGGGGATACTACATTATATACGTAACTTACGAACCTGTGCCATGGTCAATGAAAGATTAATGACTGTTCTTTTAGGAAATAATGAATTACAAATTGCATGGCAATAATGTCGGGATTATATTTTGTTAATAGGACTGAAGGACCAAGAACTTGTATTTGTTATTAGTAATGCTTTGAATGTTAAATTTGATTTAAAAAACCTCATATAAAATGTCAATAACGGAATATGTTGATCTATTTGAAAGGTAAGGAGAACCATGAACATCCCTTGAATTAAATCTTCCATTATTCGGCGTATGTGAATTATGGATCGATAAATTAAAGTATTTAAGTTATGTGATTGATGACAATAGGAACGGTAATGAATTGCCAAGTTGAGTTATTGACCATTTACGTGATTGGAAACTAAGTTTAATTTCTGTAAGGATCAAATAAATAGGAAGTTGTGTGGGTAAGGAAATGAAATGAGACCAAGTTATATGATTGATTTTCGGCAAGTATTTGAAGTTTGGAGGACCAAACTTCCTAAGTGGGGAAGGCTGTAACGACCCCGCCATCTATAATATGTTATATTTGGTTAATTAAGGAGATTTAGAGTTTAATTAGTCGCTATCCAAATTTAATTTGGGATTTATGAGAATTGTGGAATTTGATTCGTATATGATTCTATTGAAGACTTATTTTGGAATTAGAAATTAAGGGTCCAAATGGCTTAAGGGAGTGAAGTTGAGAAGTTAAGTCAATTTAATTTTAATTACGGACCCATTTGGGAGTTTAATTAAATATTTGATTCAATTTAGTAAAATTGAGATTCAATTAAATTGGGTCCAAATTGGAGTTAACTAAGTTAATTAAATTATGAGGTTTGAGAATTACGATTATTACGAATTAAATTTATTTATGGGATGTCCAATTTGAATGTGTAAATTATTGACGGAAATTTGAAGTCTGATTAGAAATTGAAAGCCTAAATAGTTTGAGAAATCAAAATTAATGATGACAATGAGTTTAATTTAATATTTGGGCCTGTTGAGAGTTTGATTAAAGATCTTATTCAGATTGATAGACTTAAATATAATTAATTGGGCCTCAATCGAAGTCGATTAGATTAATTAAATTATGTGGGATTTCTAATTAATTATGATTAATTAGATTATGTGCTAATTAAGATCAAATTGTGTTTAATAAAAATTAATGGATAATTATATTAAAATTAATTCTAATCATCAATTAAATTGAACAATATCTAGAATGTGCACGTGTGTAGTGTGATAAGTTAGTTTTGGGTGTGTTTGTTGGAGACTTTATTTACTCAAGAGAAAGAATGAAATAAAGAAAGTTTTGAAATCAAAAAGGGAGATGTAAGGGTGCTCTGGAAGCAGCCGAGAGAGAGAGAGAGAGAGAGAGAGATCCATTACTTATATGTATATGGTGATCGATCCGCTGGTGCAAACCGTGGGAAAACAAGAGATGAAGAATAATGAAGAAGAAAGCTTATGGGTAGCCAAAAATTCAAGCTAAAAGTTGTAAAAAAAAAATTCACCTCAAGGTAAGAGATTTCATCCTCTTTCTAGTGTTGCTTAATTAATCTAGGCAAAATTGATTGAAGATAAATTTGAGAAAATTAAAATAGAGATTTGAGGATTAATTATATAATTCATAGAAATTGAGTCTTGCATGTTCAATCAATCAAGTTAGGTTGCAAAATATGAGTTATGATTCTTTAAACTTGTCAAGTTTGAGTTTAATTTTAAGAATTATTCTTGAATTGAGTCCTATAATTACATGCAACAAAACTTATTTCAAGATTTGATCCATACAATGGAGCTATGTTCAATTTATGGAAATTAATTTAGAAATCAATTATGTTGAGTTTGGTTTTGTGGTCTTGCATGAATTTGAGTTCCATTCATACATGCATGGACAAATTTTGTAAGTTTTAATACTCTAATGATACATGCATCATAAATTTTGAAGGATTTGATCTAATTCAATCTCATATTTTGAAGGGAAAAAAAGGGGGGGGGGGAAAGCTTTGAAAATTAGGAATTTGTGTGATTTTAATCTTTAATCCATGCATGTAATTCAATTTAAAAGTTTTGTTCAATTTAAACATATTTTAGGACATCTATGTTTATAAATTAAGTTTTGGTTAAAAATTGAGTTAAGCGGAATTTCTAAGAAATTGATTGTGTAATTCATAGTTAAGTTAATAAAATTGGGTCCTATTTTTACATACATCATGAAATTTCAAGAGTTTAGAAAGTCTAAATTCTACTTTAGAATTGTGGGTTGATATAAAGAAGATGAGTTAAAACTAAATTTGGACAATTGGAGCATGATTTTGAATGAATGATTTCTAATTGAAAGTGTTTACTAAATTATACAATGGTTCTCCATTTTTGTGTACCAAAAATACATGTTTTGAGGCTTTGATTACCAAAATTGAATTTAAATTGCAATTCTGGAATTTTCAGAATTTACGTTGTCCGCTCGAGCGAGGAAAGTCTCGCTCGAGCGTGAAAATCGATCTCCCAGTAGTTTTTTCAAATTTTGTAGTCCGCTCAAGCGACCAAAGTGGCGCTCGAGCGGAGACCCATTTTCAGCATATTTTGGAAAGTTGCATTTAGTTCATATTTTTATCCTCATCTCTTTCCAAAGCACTCTAGACATGATTTGTGATTCAATAAAGATTAATAAGCTACCAATCAACATAGATTAGTTAGTTAAAGAGTGAATCATTGGTCTAGTGGTAATTGTTTAAGAAGCCAAGTAAAAGATCAATCTATTTGGAAAAGAAGGGCTTAGTAATGAAAGAATATGTGAAATAAGAACCCGGTTTATTTGAATGAGAAAGAATAAGCGTAGTAGAACTTCGGACTATTTAGACGGAAAAAGACTAGAAAAGTCAAGTTTGATCAAGGGAGTAATATTGTATTTCAATATGTATATGTTATGTGCTTGTGTAGGTCACGCGCCATTGTCTGCCTGATTTATCTAATATGTCCAGTCCATCTGATTTGCTTCTGCAACCATCTGTGAGTAATAACTTAGTAAAGTTATGTTCAACTGTACTTATTTTCTGTGTGACAAAATGAGATCTGTTTTCTGAAATGATATGTTCTGTACAATGAATGATTGCCCAATTTCTGATATCTATTCGTGACATCCTTAGCATCATGTGATATCTGTTAGCTGTTACTCGGTATCGGAGGTTCATTTATGGAACTTAATCTGTCAGCACTCTGTTACCCGTACCGGAGGCCCCGTCATGGGGGCTCAGATTCTGTTCTGTTACCCAGATCCGGAGGTTCCTTTAAGGAACTGGTTATTCGTAACCTCACGTGTATACGTTCTGTTTTGTTCTGTTCTGTTAATGCTAATGGATGTATCACGTATGCTTGTGCATGACTTATGATTTCTGTCTATATATGATCTGGACAAATTATGATTTTGATACGAAACTGAATTATGAAATCTGAATCTGTACGGACTCATTCATTAAAACCTTTTACTCTGTTATTATTCACTGGGCTTTAGCTCACTGTACTATTTATATATGTAGGTGATCAGGCGCGTGACCAGGCTTGGAGGCATCTGCCTAGAATTTGTTTTTGTCAGCCAACCTATGTGCCTCCCGTGGAGGTCCCGGATATGTCAAGTGATTATCGCTATGTGATTTAAAGTTTAAGTTATGTTTTCTTGTTTGGTTAAACAAGTCTTATGTATTTTGAAAAAGGGGCTAAGTCCTTTTTGTCTGATCTGTATATATATTATGACGTAGGGATGATGTGTATATATGTATATAAAAAAAAGTTTTAAATTTTTCTGTCTCATATAAGTCTGCACAGCTCAATGGACTTTGTATATTGTTATTTGCTTCCGCTAGCCCCTAATATTATGTTAATCTGTCTCAGAGGCCTTCGGTAATCCCAGGATTACTGGCCGGTTACGATGCTAAACCTATAGGGGCGGGTTTGGGTCGTGACACTTTCTAAGGACTCAACGGGGTAGTGATGCCATTTGGGTAGTAGTTGACCGATTAACCAAGTCTACACACTTCATATCTATGTGCGTAAGTAATTCGGTAGACTATCTTGCCGACTTGTATATTAGGGACATAGTGAGGTTGCACAGAGCCCCTGTGATGATTGTTTCGGATAGAGATCCCGTTTCATAGCTCGGTTGTGGCCGAGCTTACAGGGTGCCTTGGACACTATATTGACCTTTAGTACTGCGTATCATCCTTAGACTAATGGGCAGTTTGAGCGCACCATTCAGATCCTTGAGGATATACTACGAGGTTGTGTCCTTGATTTTAAGGGGTCGTGGGAGAGACACTTACCCTTAGTGGAGTTTGCTTGTAACAACAGCTTCCAATCGAGTATTGGCACGGCACCGTTTGAGGCCTTGTATGGTCAACCTTATAGATCCCCAGTGTGTTGGGCCGAGATGGGTGATACACCTTTGTTGGGCCCAGAGTTAGTTCGGGAAACGACGGAGAAGGTAGCACTTATTCGTAAGAGGTTGGTTACAGTTCAGAGTCACCAGAAAAGTTATGCTGACCGTAGGAGAAGGCTCTTGTCTTTTGAGGTAGGAGACCATGTGTTTTTGAAAATATCACCTAGGCGGGATTTGATGAGGTTTGGGAAAGCGGGAAGTTATCCCCTCGGTTTATTGGCCCTTTTGAAATCCTTGAACGGCTTGGGGAGGTTGCTTATCGGTTGGCATTGCCGCCACAACTTTCTGGAGTGCATGATGTGTTTCACATTAGTATGCTTCAGAAGTATAAGCCGGATCCATCTCACATGTTAGATTGGACCGACTTAGAGGTATATGAGGATGCCTCGTATGAGGAGAGACCGGTGAGAGTCTTGGATAGATGGGACTAAGTCTTGCGAGGCAAAACAATTCCCTTAATAAAAGTATTGTGGAAACATCACGGGGTCGAGGAAGCGACTTGGGAGCATGAGTTGGAAGTTCGAGAGAAATATCCGGACTTGTTTATTAGTGCTTGAACATTGTATTAAGATTTTGATTATGCTAATGAAAAGTATAAACATTGTATATGTTTTAAATTATGAGAACATTGTATATGTTATGGATATTTTAGAAACATGGATTTTATATAAACATTGTACATGTTTTGAGAATATGGAATATTGAGGATGTTGTATTCTTTTTGGAAGTATTATATATACGGTGTAAATTTCTTGAAAACTTGGATTGTGGTTAAGCATTGTAAATGTTTTGGGAAATTGTAAATTTCTTTTGATATGGGACTTGTGTATCGAGTCGATAAAAATGGATGACGGAAGGATGGGCCATGGTATTGAACCTATGAGAACAACCTTATTATGAATGATCTAATGTGATCTTTGAACTTAATTTGAAATTTTAGGGACAGAATTCTTTAAGGGGGGGAGAATATAGTGATCTTGGTTTTAACCTGACTCTTGTGGTATTCCGGACTCGGGTTTAATACTTTCAAGTTGTTGTTTACCTTTTTCCTCCATTGTATCTCTTAACATTGGCCTTTGGGTTGTTATGATTGCGTTGGAAAAGGTTGGTTGCTTGTTTTTTTTCAAACTTGTGTTGCCCATAATTTTGGTCTTTCGCTCGAGCGAGGTTTGCAAATACTCAATACTTTGCATGTCAGCAAAGTACTGGAGGAGTGTTTTTCATGCTCGAGCGGGTGAAGGCTCGAGCGGCTTTCCTTGTGCTCAGGCAAGTTGTCTGTTGTCTGCATAAGTACTGAGCGTGTGTATTTCACATTCGAGCGGGTCTCTTTTTCGCTCGAGCAGAACAAAATGTTGTGTCTGACGCTCGAGCATCAACTCTTTTCCTCAAGCGGACTGTGCGTATATCAGATCGCGAAAGTGACATTTTATATCACTTTTTCATTCCTCTTTATCTCTCTAAAACTTTCCAAAAACCTAGATCTACACATTCTCTCTCTAAAATACACCTTCGCTCTTCTATTTCATCTAGATCTGTTGATCTTTTCACCCTAGTGCCTTTGAGAAAAAGGTAGAGTGCTTCAAGATCTTCACTTTGATTTGGACAAACTTGGATTTTGGTGTCTTTGGAGTTTCAACCTTGCTTTGCTTGGTCTTCTAGCTTTAGGTAGGGATTCTTCTACACCTTTATATGGTATTTAGCTTAGTTATTTGTCTCGTGTAACAATGGTATAATTTGGCGTGTTTTAAGCAAAACTAGGGTTTTGGGTTCAAGTTGAAAAGAGGGGTTTTTGATGAATGAAAGATAAATGAGTATGGGCTTTGAATATGAGGTCATGTTGTGTCAAAATGATGGATTTTGGTACTTGGGTTGAGATTTGGAAAAAGGGGGGTTTTGCCCTAATTGAATCAAATTGTTATTTTGTATAAATAATTGAAATTGTCGTTGAAAATGTGAAATTGGATGATCATTGATATAAATGGTGGAATTGGATATGTATTATTTCCCCTTTGGAAGTTTTCAATAAACTATATATTTGAGATTGAATATATGTTTAGAGATAACTGTATTGGGTTATCGATGGAGGATAGCTTTGATTGTTGTAGAAACTGCATGTGGATTAGGTAAATTGGAACTAATCTTTTGATGGTTGTCATGGAATGTGAGTATGTTCATATACATTGTATATGTATGATTGTTTGGGAGGAGAAATGGAATGGACTCCATTGTTTGGGAGGAGAAAGGGGATGGACTCCATTATAATTAAGTTGGTTGGAGTGTCTTGGGTGAAAATCTCGAAATTATACATGGGTGCCAATCTCGCAAATGAAATATCCGTAAAATGACAATTGTAGTGCTTGTATGACTTACGTTTACATGGGTCCCGTTTGACGATTGCCTGCGGACAAAATATTCGTAAAATGGCAATTTGAAGTGTCTATGTGTATGCATTGTATGATTGGAAAACCATTGAGTTGTAGCCTCAGTTTGGTTGTTTGGAAATAATGAAATTGACTTATGAATTGAGAAGGATATGTGAAAGAAATATGAACTGAAAGAAAATGGATTAAGATTTGAATTTGTTATCTTATGAGTAAATAAATTCGTGAAAGTTTTACCACAAGCATTGTTTATGCACTTTGTACTTATATTTCTGCTAAACCTCATATATTGTGTTAGATGATTCCTACTGGGCTGTGGCTCACCTTATTTTTTCCAAGTAATGATGGAACGCCTCTACCAAGGCAATAGTGTTGAGGAGATTTTCGGGAGTAAGAGCTTTTTTATTTTGGATTGTATATTTTTGTAAAGCCAATGGCTTAAAATGTAATCAGCGAAGCTCATTTTTGTTGTAACCAAGTCAAGGCTTGGAAAGGTGTAAGCCAATAGGGCACTTATTTATGTTAATCTCTTTTGTATCATTAACTTCATGTAATAAAAGGACTATTTACTCTGATTTATGCAATTATAAACATATGCTTGGGTTGTATTTATTATATTATTTTTGGGGCGTTACAATTGGTTAATGTTACGAAATTTTGGGAATTAGTTACGACATTTGTGATTTTGTATAGTTTTAAACAATTTGGTTACGCCAATTAGTGATGGCGTTATGTATTTTGTGTTTTATATTACAAAACTTTGTGACTTGATTATGATATTTACGGTTTTTAAAATTTTAAATATTTTTATTACGCCAATTAATGGTATGATTATACATTTTGTAGTTGATGAGTAAAATAGTTTTTTTTTTAATTATTTTTACTTAATAAAAATAGATGAAGGGTTTATATTAAAAATAAATAATAAAAAAATTAAGTATAAATTGACAAAATTATAAATTAATAATTTATTTTATTATAAGACTCTATTCATAAATGTTTTAATTTTGTTTTTTGTAATGATTATTGCATAATTTCGGCCTCATTTTCTCCAAAAAACTGGAACAAACATCCAAATTTTGTCAAAATCAAAATTCCCTCATTAATTGTTTTTGACAAATCCCTAGACCTTTTCTTTAGCCCGAGAGAGAGAGAGAGAGTAATTTTTGGAATTGGGGTGTGTCGCGAGCTCGTGGACCAAATTTACACCCCTATATGTGAGTAATGGTTATAAGATATATGATTGGTGGTTATGATACATGTGATGTTGGTTATGAGGTAAATGGTGTTAGTTATGAGATGTGGTTATGACATAAGTGGGTAAAGGTTTTGAGATATATATGATTAGTGATTATTAGATATGTGATTTTGGTTATAAGCAGAATGATGTAGTTATAAGTCAAAGGGTGTTTGGTTATGAGATGTGTGATTAGTGGTTATGAGATATGTACTGTTGGTTATGATCAAAGTGGTGTGGTTATAAGATATGTGATTAGTAGTTAGTTATGATATATGTGATGTTGGTTATGAGATATGTGGGTAATGGTTATGTGATATTTGATTAGTGATTATAAGATTTGTGATTTTGGTTATGAGCAAAGTGGTGTCAAAAGGTATTTGATTATGCTATATGTGTTAGTGATTGTGAGATATGAGATAATGGTTCTGATCAAAGTGGTGTAATTATGAGCAAAATGGTTGTTAGTTATAAGATATGTGACTAGTGGTTATGAGATAAGGGGTTGGTTATGAGATGT